GCACCTCTACTAGTTAGATCCGCTTGTTACCGTTCATTCATTCCCTCATCAATATGTATTTATATATTTGAAATTAAAATATTTTAAATTTTCTGTTTGAATAACTTTTTTTTCTTTTTGTTTTGAAGTATACTTTCTGTTCTTTTCAGAATGGATATTAGGGTATGTTTGGTTTTATCAATCTACAAGTTTTTTTCCTCTTTAAACAATTAGTTAGAGTATTAAGCATTAGTTTATAAACTTATTTTAAACTATTATTTAATAGATATCAATTACTTTACTTTCAATACATTTTTTAATATGTATTTTGATTTCTTTTAAATATATATTAGAGTGTGTATGATTTGATTGATTAAACTAACGATTTATTAATGCGAGTAAAAAGAGTTTAATTCTTTTTAAATGAATTTTTGAATTTGGTCAACAACTTAAATAATTTAGTAATCATCTCTTTTTGTTAGAAGTAAAAAATTTTAAATTTGATTCGCATGATATATGAATAGAGTGAGATGAGAGATGGAAATGATTGCTTTCAATTATGCAATCAAAGTAAAAAAAAATTAAATTTGAGTTTTTTTTAAAAAATAATAATTTTTTTTTAAACATTTTGACACGAGACGGGTTCAAAACCCGCCCAAAGGATTTAAAAAATAATAATTAAAAGAGTTTTTCTTATAAGATTTAATTCGACTCAATTTAATTTTAAATTAATCAAACTTGAATGACTTTTATATACGAAGATATTTACTTAAAAAAATTTGGTTAATTAGCCTCTTTTTTTCTTTTTTTCTTTTATTTTGGGTAAAATACGATAAATTAATAAATTCTCTACGCTTCGAGTATTTAAAGTCCCCTTCCAACAGCAAAAAAAAACTGCTACTATATCCCAACAGCAAAATATTTCAGAACCCTCCGTCCCGTTCCAAGTCCTGATCCTAAAACCCACCCCCACCGGCCCAACCCCCGACGCCCCCAACCAAAAAAAAAAAAAAAAAAAAACAACAACAACAATAACAATAATTACAACATCCTATTTAATACAGTGCAGTTGACGTTGACGCAAACGGCAACCGCAAATATAGCAGACGATCAATCCTTTCATTGGGTTTTATCATAGCATATGAATGTTATGGTAAAATCTAAAAATGAAAAACAGAAACAGAGCAAGAACAAGGAATAATATTGAAATCTCATCAAGAGCTGTGAACAAGAACACTCTGCATCATGTTTTTGAATTCAAAGAAATCGACTTGCCCGTCTTTATTGCTGTCTACGGAGTTGATCATCTGTTCAACTCGACTAATCTCTCTCCCCTCCGGCAACCCAAGCTTCCCCAACACCACCTGCAGTTCTTTCGCGGAGATGAATCCGTCCCCATCTTCATCGAACACCTTGAACGCCTCCGTTAAATCGGACTCCTCCTGCGAAATCGCCGCCGTGCTCTCAACCGCCTCCTCCTCCTTGCTGTCAAACCCGAAAAGGGTCTCGTCCAGCGATTGATGCAACGCCACGAAATCCTCGAAATTGAGGCCCTGGTTGCCCGGTTTAACAAAGGATTTGATTGTGAGGTCTAGATCGGAAAGATCTGCTTCGAGACCAAGAAGGGAAAGCGCCTGGCTGATCTCCTGGACAGTGATCATGCCATCACCGTTCTTGTCAAATATGTCGAAAATGCGACGGAGACGGAGGGAGTTGAGACTAGGACTCCGTAGACGGAAGGACGACAACGAAGATATCTTCCTGGTGAGACTCGGTTTACGGTCATCAGCTACGTCCATAAGTTATCTTCTGTTTTTAGAAAAGGCGATCTAAGCGTCGGGGAAAATGCAAAAGTTGAGAGTTTTATGGACAGAGGTTAGACATATAGCGGAGAATGGATGGTGCTATTTAATGGGGGGAAGACGTGCGTTGTGGGGAGGCGTAGGTGGTGGTGGGTGCCGTTTACCATGACTATTTCTCTTATATTTCTAGTCATATTTCTTGCCATTTGTACGGTACACGTAGGGGTGGGCAAAACCG